AAATATATGAGCCATAACTGTACATGGTCAAGAATCATCTTTAGGGCTGGAAGAAAAAAAGCCCCCTGTGGACTTGCAGACTCAATCCCAGGGTCTTGAACTCCAGGATGAATTGAATGCAACAGTCTAGTATGTGCTGTACCTTTAGGTACAGAATAAAGAGTTATAGCTTTCCTGTGCCATATAGGGACTCTGAAGCTTGCTGAAAGAAGATGCTAAGACTCCATATTTTGCTAGTAAACATTTTAGATCTTGAAAAATGAATTTGGCTTTGCATTTGATTTCAATGTATTTTTTGTAGGAAGCTAAATTTAGATACATTCTCTGCTTCTCAGCATTTTTTCTTCCTCCTGCAGATTGCAGTGGTGGATTGAGACAACTGGCTAGCTTTTGGTCTCTTCTGCCCTGAGGTGAAGTTACTGGATGTCTTTTGGCTTCCAGCCCAAGTACATTAAGATAAAATCCAGGCAGAGTCAACACTTAAAGTGTAAGGGAGGAACAGGCTTTGGGCAGGTCAGCAAGCCCTATTCAGGCTTGTCATGCCCATCCTGCGCACTCTGCAACCCCATGAGTTAGACAGCAGAAGTTAATGGCAGAATATGCAGCTACTTTTTGCAGTACCAGTAGGGAATGATAAGGATCACGTTCTGCCTGTACTTGCGTTATGGAGGAAGAATGCCTCAGGTAACAACTGCTCTATTTTGAAGAACCAGATTTCGTTCTTTAACAGGACCTGTTCTACAAAAGTTCAGGGAGTCCCAAAACAATCATGCTTCCCTCTCAATGGAGAAATGTGGGCAAGACAATTAAAACTAGAAGGATATATAATAACCTTAAGCAAAGAATGAATTGATACCAAATTATAGAAAATTAAATTGATTTATTAAATTGATATACATGAATTGATAGTAAATTGGGAAGTATTTTTAAATGGGGTTTCACGGGGGTTTGAGATGAGTCTAGTGCTGTTTAACTTTTTAATTAATGGTGTGGGTGCAGTTAAATGATGGATTGATTTTGGGGTAGAGATTCTATTAATGAAATTTGCAGATGATACAAAACCGGGAGGAGTTGCAAACACTTTGGACTAAATTTAAAAGAAATGTTGAAAAATCAGTGAACTGGGCTTTAGACAATACAATTAAATTCAAGACAAATTTTAGGTTCTACACATAAGAAAGACAAAAACAAATGCAAAAATATAGAATGGGGGTAGCTGATATGTCAATAGAGCTCCTGAGTATGAGCAGGAGGTTATGGTAGGTCCCAAGTTCAGATGGTGGGAGTAGTGTGATACGGGTGCAGGACAGAGGGGGAAGCAAATGTATTTTGTGACTATATTAACACAAATAAGACACAGGTTAACCAGGTTAGTGCTGGTTAACCTCATTTGGATTAAGTATTCCCTTTTGGGTACCACATTTTAAAAAGGATTTAAAGAAATTAGACGATCCAGGCATAAGCAACAAAGGTAGTAAAGAGTAGGAGTGCGCAAAACAGGCGGTATTCAGTTTGGATTTGGATTCAGCCCGTGGGACAGTGATTCGATCCACTGATTCGGAGAACAGCGATTCAGCCACAGACACAGCAATAAATGTTTTTTTTTACATTCCTCGAGTACCAGGTTGTGGCTTATGAACACTGTGATGCTGGGGTGGACAGAGCCTCCCACAGGAGCGCGGGGGAGCCCCCTGCATGCTCAGTGGCAAACCCAGAAGTGGACTGAAGTGCTTCCTATCCATTTCCAGGTCCACCGCCGAATGCACTGGTACCCCTCCACGCTCCTGTGGCACGCTCCATCTGCCCCAGCATCTCAGCATTCACAAGATGCATGGTACCTTGAGGTATGTAGAAAAAACAGTTAAACCTGTGTCTATGTCTGAATCATCAAATCTTTCTGAATCTCTCTGAATCAATCTGGAGGATTCTGATATGATTTGGAGAGATTAAAGGGTCTCCTGAGATTTGATTTGGATTTGAAGATCCAGCCGCTGAATGGGGCTGAGTGTCTGCCGAATTGAATAAGCAACCAAAGCTTCGCACAGCCCTAGTAAAGAGGATGGAAAGCAAGCTATGTGATGAAAGTAATGTTTACTTTGGAGAACGAGAAATTAAAGATGGGTCATGATAGTAGTTTTCAAAGGTCTTAATAAAGAAGATGGAGATACATTGTTCACAGGGGGCAGGACTTTTGGCAATTGATTTAAATGCAGCAAAGCAGATATTGAGCAATTCCAAGAAAAACCCTGTGGGCATGTCTGAATGAGTGGGACCGTGTGGTACATGGCACCACAGACGTGTTTGCAGTGCCACACACCACATGTTCAGGTGTTCTCTGCTCTGCAAGGGTATAGTGTGGTGGGGGGGAGGGGTTACCGCATAATATCCATGTTGCTGGATATCCAGGGGTCAAAAAAACCTGTGCCAAAAAAAACGGGAGTGGCGCACACAGGGGCAGCATGTGCCACTCAAAACCAGAGCCTGGCCATCTGGAGCCATGCTGCAGCTGCCAGCCAGGCTCTGAGTGGCTGGACTGCAGCTGCTGCAGCCCCAGGAGGCCCCCAGGACCCCAGGTAAG